TTGTTTTTCGTATGGTTCTCCTATCAATAGAAACGGAAGATAGCTTTGGCCAATACAGTACATCGGTCGGTGTTATACGACTCTCTCTGATTGCTTTCTGCTCAATTAATTTCTTAAAAAAGTGTAAAAATAATCTTGTTGAATTTCCAGCGAACTTTTCTCGAATAAACACCGATGTTAAAAGAGGAGTTTCAAGATGTCCTGAAGGAAATGATGAAATTGTAACAAAGCAAAAGGGAAAAAGAAGACTCGTTCGAAAGAGAAATATTTAAAATCAAAATTCGGAGAATATTTAATTCTGAAGTAAGGAATAACTAAATTCAATTAAATTTTCACAATTTTTGACGAGAAGAAGACAAAATGTTTAAAGAGACGAACATATACAATATATTACGTTCGACAATAAATTCGTTTGTCTTTTTCATTTTTATATAAGTTATCGAAAGACTATAAAAAGCACAAGTAAATTTTCTCGCGAGAGGTATATAATAGAAGTTACTCCTTGATCAGATAGATTTCACATGAAAGTCACAAAGCGTTAATCACTTAACGCGCGAATTTCAGAATACACGCGTGAATAGATTAATTGGTCAACTTGGTACTTGACGAAGACGATAGTTCAAGTTCTGGGGGAAGGAAGAGATCTCAGTTGCCAGTCTATTTTCCACGTATATGCATACATTGACCGTGTCGTCGTGGCCGTGTATTTGCGTATAGTTCGCGAAGCTCCGCGCGGAAGAAATATGCACGAGAAGACGAAGGGGGTCGATCCTGACGCGATCTATAGTTCTTCGGCTGGAGACAGCCGGTCAAAGAAGGGGTGGAAGAAAGGTCGCGGGGGAAAGGAAGCCGTGAGGGGAGATGAAAGAGGAGGCGAACTCCAGGCAGTAGAAGAAGAGGAGATGGTGGCAATACAGGGAACCAGAGCCAGACTGGACGGCGCTGGTCTCGTCGCCCGTGCGGTAAACAAAGCTGTAACTCTCTCCTCGCAGAGAGGAATCAATGTCTGGTAGCGAGCTCTCTGAGGTACAAACTCGCGGAGGAAACCCTCCTCGGAGACATCGATCTTAGTCTTGCTGTAACGTGCATGTTGATGCACTCTAAGTGAATGCTGTCACGAAATAGTATCGATAGAGCTGTTTGGTAATAGAGCTCCTTAGGGGTGTCTTTGATTCTTTTCATACTTTTAATGCCACATTCTGAGTACCACGTCTTCCCATTCTGGGGGAACGATCTTGTTTACTCGGATAGGAACGATTCTCGTGAAAACATTGAATTTGAATAATGAAGCTCTAATTTAGTAGATAAAGAAATAAATATATGTTTCAATTTATTCAATGAAACTTGTATTTATTTGTCTAGAAATATTGATAATCAGCTTGAATTTCTTAATAATCTTCTCCGTGAAGGTTTCATTTCACATCAAAGAGTCAGGTAACCGAAACGAAAGCAATGACTCACAGCAGAGATTTCCCAATGTGAAATTAATGATTCGTGGGAAGTTGGGCGAATACTTGGCATTTCGTGGATCCTCTGCTGCAAATTCCTTCTCATCTATCTTGGTCGCCGCATGAGGTAACCGTTGACGCTTCTGATTGACGAAGAGGGAAAAAAAACGAGCAACGAAAAATTGAGTCGTAGATAATCTCCCTAGTCCTCCTCAAATTTAATGACTCGACAGAGTGTGAACAACAAATAAATAAACAACAATCGGATAATAAATTTAACAAAACAATTGTTTCAATAAAAACGAACCGCGACTGTTAATAAAAATGTACCTTTCGCAAATATCAAGCAGTCTACATTTTCTACGAACGAATCTCGACACGTAGGTTATAGGTTGATGGAGTAATAATAAAAAAAAAAAAAAAAAAA